TACGTGTGTGGGCGCACATGATTAATAAGCTGAACAAAATGGCCCACAAATGAGAAATGATGGCATTGTCTGTAGTCACGGCTGAGCTGGACGGCAGGGTGCAGTTCCTGATGAGTAGAAATGAAGAGAAAGCAGGATGGGGAAATGATGAGGTTAAGAAAAGAGTATGTGCTGGTGGCGGAGCGGACAGGTGTGAATAATGATGCTCAGCACTGCTAGACTCTCGGCTTTCGCTCGTTCTTTTGTTTTCGTTCATACGCCACCCGCAGTTTTGCTCTCTGTTCAGCAGGATCACAAAGAGGTTTAGTTAGCTGCCATGTCAGGACGGTTCCCTCTCCATATCTGCTGTCAGTGGTAATATGACAGCACCAGCAGGGTGAGAATGAGGATCAGCTGCAGTCGTGTTGTGGAGAGACACTGTGTGCTGGATTTCAGCAGGGACAGAGAAGACGTGCCACTCTGCCACCAGTCACACGCATAAATCAAGCCATTGTTCAATCACTGCAGCTACACAAACACTTGAGAGAGAGAGGACAAGACATATACATATATATAGAACTTCACTTCAAAGTCTCTCTGTCTTCAAAAACAACTCTTGAATTGAATTATTAATTATTTATTACTCTGCAGTAAAAAGAGTTGGGAAAGGATCAGTTTTAATAGCCATCAAACAGTCAAAAAAATAAAAAATACAAATAAAATAAAATAAAATAAATAAAAAATAAAATAATATAATGGACAACACCTAAGCTTTCCATCACACGGACAGACTAAATCTGTCACATAAGACATTCAGCTGCACTCAGTGAACTGCTGAAACTTCCATCTAAAAATGTTAACCTACAAATGTGCTTCATATGTAAATTATTATTTATATACCTTAATAGTTGAATAATTCTTAAATATTTTATAATATATTCAATAATTAAATTTAAGGCAGAAATGCTATTTAACATCACAGATTCAACCTAAAAACATATAAATACTGATACTTATAAGGAATTAATTGCTATTGCTTAGTTTTATTTGTGTAACAATGATTTTTGTTGTATTTACTATATATATATATATATATATATATATATATATATATATAACATTATTGGAGTATGTTTTACAAGAAAATAATATTTCAGTTTTTTGACTGTAAATGTTATTGTTTGTGAAATTACTAGCAATTTCTGAGTGAAAATTGTTTGTAAACCAAATTTCTTCGGCTTAACACATTGACTTAAACATGAACTATTTTCTTGTAAAAGTACTCTGATAATTATTGTTTTATTTACAGGTTCAACCAATGTTTTTTTTTTTTTTTACTGTGCAGGTTATAGTGTATAATGAAATTCTAAGCTAATCATTTCTGAATGTTATCAATAAAGTAAGGCAGCTTTTAATCAGACTCATTCAAGAAATATGACGTCACTCCATCTGCGTTTGCTGCCATCATTAATAATCCCAATCAGACAGTGAATGCCCATTAAACAAGCAAAAGAGAGCTGCTATTGACGTTTGAGACTTGACCTGGTCACCTTCCGTCCTGAAAGCATTTTCTTGATCCTATTTGCTCATGAAAATGATGTCCTGCAAAGTCAGTCGATTCTCTGCTCAATCAATGAAGGCACTGTTATTATCTGAGAGGACGTGACATTTGATTAATATTGATACAGACTCAATCTGACACAATTCAGAAACCAGGTTCTTGGTTGGGCACTTTCAATCATTTCCACCCTTAACCAGGTGTGAGTTGTCTGTTCACACTGAAAGCTAAAAATGCTACATGGTGCAACAAACTCAGAATGTAATAGCTGTGTAATGTACAGTTATGTGGAAGTGGGATTTTGGACCAATGATATTTCAGTGTGGTTGTGGCAAGACAGTTTACTGACCACATATCTGGTAGTTTGTGGCGTCAGTATCTGTCATCGCTTGTCACTTCGTATCTGCCTGGTTAAGATACAGCGGCATACAAACTTGTTTTATGTCATACATCAGCATTCTAGTAAACACGTATGAAGTGTCATAATTGCATAATTGCATAAATGCATGATGCAATAAAGTTATTATTGATAAATGCTCTTCCTGCTAATCGGAATATCAGTCCTACCCTTGTGAAAAAAAGTACACTATAGCATACTTTTAAAAAGAGTACTTATGGAAATAATATACTTAAGTGTTAACTGAGTATAATGTTTTCAACACTTTGATTAAATGAAAAAGTATTATAGTTTACATTTATATTAAATGCAATTATCTGCACTTTAGAGTGCTTTTTGACCCACTTAAGTATGTCTTAATTACATCTTTATATGTAAATTCATAATTACTTTGAAGTGTACTGCTGTATGTACTGATAAGCATTTATAGTAAAATAATAATAAAAAGTCAAATAAACGTTGTATGTATGCATATATTTACATGTATTTTAATTACACATTTTTAATGATAAAGTTGCAATTTAGCACATTTAAAATATATTAACTTTATATATAATTTTGAATAACACACTACAGCTAAAATCACAATCAAGTACTTCACATGTGCTTTAGTATATTAGTCAACATTAAAATAAGTGTACTTCTTTAAAGCACAACAAAGGATTATTAAAACATAATGCTTTAGAATGTACTTTAAAGTCAAACTTTTATTTTGATAATCTGACATTACTACAAAGTGCGCTTTTTAAAAGTGTACTTAAGTGTGTTAAGAAACAGTCATGAAAGTTAGCTTAAGGGGATAGTTCACCCAAAAATGAAAATGTGATGTTTATCTGCTTACCCCCAGGGCATCCAAGATGTAGGTGACTTTGTTACTTCAGTAGAACACATATGATGATTTTTAAGTCCAACCGTTGCAGTCTATCAGTCGTATAATGCATGGCAATGGTAACAAAATCCATGAGAGTAAAAAAAATAGCTCCGCCCACAGTCAAATCTCATTGTCCAAAACCCCACTTCACATAACTGTACATGCACATACATCCAACATGTTCTGATTTGCTATTGTTTCGTCACATAAAACAGCATTTTTGCTTTAAGAGTGGGCAGACAAATCACTGAAAAGCTGTAAAACTGAAGGAGAAAAGGGTTTTATTTCCTTCATGGCTTCAGAAATCTTAAATCTCTGTTTATCTGGCTGGACTGTTTCTGGTTATTTTCCTCTCGAGCGCACATCTTGCTGCTGATTCTGTCTCCAGGCAACTCCCACGCGCTGAGCTGTGATCCAAGAGGCCTCAGACGTGTTCCTAAAATACCTGACCCAAACTACATCACACGCATCCACCAGGAAACACGTCACAACTCTCCAGCTCCTCCAGCGCATGACATGACCCCCATAAAGACTCGCACAAAACGGCTAATCAATCTGGCAGTTGATGATAGTTATGATAAATAAAATCATGTTTTATTTTTTACTGAATATTCTCAGCCATGTTTTCTGGGCAGTCCATTAGGCTACAGTATATTTTCATATAATTCTTATATTAGCCTATATTGTATTATAGTCAGTAGGCAACTCAGGCAACAGTAATGGTTAATTAAAATAGATATTTTGCTATTAATTTTTCCATTCAATATTTTGCTATTCAAACTTGAGGGGTGTTTTTGACATATCATATCATAACCGTTTAATCCTGCTAAAATCATCTATGTTCTGTGGTATAAAAAAAGGCCCAATAATAAAAGATTGATGAGAAATAAAACATGGTCATATAAAGGTGTATTATACAGATATTCCATTTTATAATGTCTTATAACAAAGCCTATCATAATATAGCATATAACAGGCTACTTATATAGTAATAAATATGACCCTGGACAACAAAACCAGTCATAATTAACACAAGTATATTTGTAGCAATAGCCAACAATACATTGTATGGGTTAAAATTATCAATTTTTCTCTTATGACAAAAAATCATTGGGATATTATGTAAAGATCATGTTTCATGATGATATTTTGTACATTTCCTACCGTAAATATATCAAAACTTAATTTTGCATTAGTAATATGCATTGCTAAGGACTTAATTTAGACAACTTTAAAGGCGATTTTCTCAATATTTTGATTTTTTTTTTTGCGCCCTCAGATTCCAGATTTTCAAATAGTTGTATCTCAAACAAACCATACATCAATGGAAAGCTCATTTATTCAGCTTTCAGATGATGTATAAATCTCAATTTTAAAAAAATGACCTTTATGACTGGTTTTGTGGTCCAGGGTCACCTATGATACATAGTAGATAAATAATAATATCTGATCACAACATGTGTTCGTTGTAGGCTACTGTTTACTGTGGAGTAGGCCAGTGATGTATAACTGTAATTTGACTGTGGTTGCAATTATTTGTGAAAAGATATAGGAATAATCCCAGTACAGATTATATGGCATTATGAATATCGTTATGATGCATGATATGTGCCAGTTAGGAATAAAGTGAATAAAGCAGCTCCAGCAGCTGATGCTCGCGCTCTCCTCAGACATCACGTCATGCACGCAGTGCCACAGCGACGCGAGAGTTTAGCTGATCTAAACGCGTCTTTTCTATAGAAAATACATTTCTTTCTACTTCGAGTCTCTTTTTAAATGACATCAATCATCATATGACACAGCACGTGTGTAGATAAACGCACTTCATGCGTGTGTCAGGTGAATCATGTAGGCTTCATGCGCGTATTTCCGGTGCTGCACTTTACGCGTTACACTTCATTGGGGAATATTATTTTTTGATGATTTTATATTTGCCTATTTTATAATCAGTTATTTCCTGCCCTCATTCACTATAATACAATATAATATAAGCCGATATAAAATGGCCTAGGCTATATACTGTAAATAATGAACAGAAAGTATTGCTCCGAATATTTAGTGAAAAATAATCCCATTAACCTAAAAACTGATTCCGAGATGAATTAAGAACCGAATAAACAGGTGACGAATCATTTAAGATGGTGTTTCTATGTTAAAGCCCGGATCATTACGTAAATATAGATCGAGATTCACTCACCATAGGTTGGTTTTAAATTAGTCATCTCAGACATGTTGAAGTCCAATGGCTTGGCTGTGATCAGAAAACAAAAAAATAAAAAGCAAAGGGAATGAATTTCTATTTGATTTCCATGAATTTCTTCAGGCCGATCCTCCAACTGAATGGGTGGCCGAGCGGTGGATGTTTTCTTCTGTGTCTGCGCGCTCCGCCTCCTCCTCCGCTCCAGAGGCGAGTGTGATGAAGATGAAGATGAAGATGAGGATGCTCAGGGCGGATGCGGCGCAGACTCAACCTAACATCACATGCAAACCCTTCAGCTCCCCCTACAGTCTACAATGGGGAAAAGACCGAGCACACCCGAACCTGAAGTTATTCTATTCTATTCTCTTACATTATAGCCTATTTTCATAAACATTATTGATGTAGAGTTCATTTTAAATTATATATGAATTATATAATATTTTATTTGTAAATACACAAATTATTTATGTTAGATTAATAAGTACATTTAAAATGTGACATACCAATTATATTATTGTATTAAACTAAATATTAATTTAATGTTTATATAAATATGAACTCCTTCACTAATTAATGAATTTACATATATTTTCCAGCTGTTTGTGATTACTGTTATTTATAAGTGAATTATTATTATTATTATTATTAAATAGAAAAATCATTTTTATATATACAGTATCTCACAGAAGTGAGTACACCCCTCACATTTTTGTAAATATTTTATTATATCTATTAATTAATTTACATGTCTTTTCCAGCTGTTTGTGATTACCTTTATGTATAAGTGAATAATTATTATTAATTTAATTACATTTTAAGAAAATGATATACTAATTGTTTTATTTTTTTGTACATCATGTTTTACTTATATAAATATGAACTTTTATAATGAATTTCCTTGACTTTTCCAGCTGTGTGTGATTACTTTTAATTAATGCTGTCAAACGATTAATCGCGATTAATTGCATCCCAAATAAGTTTTTGTTTACATAATATGTGTGCTGTGTATATTTATTATGTATATATAAATACAAACACATGCTTGTATACATTTAAGAAAAATAAGTTGTTTATATATTAAATATATTTATATATAATATAAGAATATAAACAGCACTAGTTTTAATTATAAGTAAATTATTATTGTTAATTAAATTGAAAAATAAAGTTATATATATGTGTGTGTGTGTCTGTCTGTTTGTGATTACTGGATAAGGACTTTTAAAACTCGTTTTATAGAGATTGCATTTGCATAGAATTCCTTCTATTAATTCAAAGCCACGAAAACACTATTTTAAAATATTCTGATATTTCTAGGAATGTATAACCCCGTATTTAAGTTGATATATACTGTGTATAAGCATCATTTAACACAAATAAATACATCACAAAACATATCTGTATCAAAATGATTTTTTTTTTACTTTGGTTTACAGTCAACATACAGGAGCATAATGTCCTTTAACAATAGAATAATTATAATAACAACAAGAATTGAAATGACAATATCAATAAAATAGTCAATTCAAATAGATTCACACTGGATAACATACTGATAAATACTTGTAAGAAATAGTTTTCAGATGGAATGCTGTTGATCTGAATTCCAGTCGGGTGATTGTCATGTTACTGACACACATGTTGGTTGTATCCTTACACAATACAGTATGCGCTATCAGTGAAAAAAACACACACGTTCTAGTTAAAGTGTTACAAGGGGCTAGGCCACATATTTTTGAGGGAAAAAAACTTGAACAAAAAGTAATTTCTAAACCTTTGATACAGTGAATGAAATCTAAATTACAGTGTAGCTAATGAGGGAGAAATAAAGTGAAGTTACTCTACAATGGAAGTAGTAACTGTACGTTTGTCACAACGACGTGGGCTCGATTGTAAAATATTTTCATTTTTTTAAGGCAAAATAAACCGTAAAATGACAGCGAACCATGTAATATAACCAATAAAATGTTTTGAATCATACCTGTAAGTCTAAGCAAGCTATGTACTGAAGTTGCTAATGACATTTAGATACCTGCCTGTCTATTTTATAAATGTTTCTATCTTTAAATACAACACATATGTTTTTACATCACCGAGGTGTGCATTGGATGTGTAACGCGAGAGCTTAAATCTATTTCACCCAAAATGACCTCAAGATAGCATACTGGTTTAACGATAACCCAACACTGATTGCAAAGTGCCTTTGAAATCTGTATTAAAACTACAGCTTTACTGTAATTAGCATTTAATCTGCAGTGTATGTATATGTACCACGTATCCAATGAAATACAGCACAAAGGCACTCATCGAAACAATGAGCATACCTGACATCTAAATTGAACGTTTTATAGCAATCGACGGCCACGAACAAGAAATAAAACAAGGCATTATGCTTTACAATAAATTTCCCGAAAGGCTCATAATTCTCAACGTGACCTGAGCCGATGTGAACAACCCTGCAGATGAAGAGTTTGCATCTTTTGCATCGCCCAATTTACAAACATCATGTGGGGTCCAAATGAAACCCGAAAACACTTGATGACTGTAAGACGACTAAAACATCCCTGACGTGCTTCATTGCTTAAAACCACTGGAACATTTCAAACCAATAGAAGGTTTGCGATGTTCATAATCAACGTGAGAATCACTGGGAAGGGCTTTTAAGTAATTGCAGAATCTATCTATGAACAAAGGAGCACAAAGGAAAGGCACAAAGATTATTACAACGGAAACAATAGTGGGAACGCAGAACATCATATGATCCTTAGTTTCTCTTAAGTTGTGACTAATCACAGATAACACTTTTCAAGCACTGATTAAAGTCAACATGAAATGCTGTTTGCAAAGCATTTACTCCCTAATGTAACATATTTCACAGCCAAATGCTGTAGTAAGTGGGCGTCAAAAACAATATTGTTCAGCAGTTTGGGGATGGTAAGATTTTGTAATGTTTTTATAAGAAGTCTGCATTTATTTGATCAAAAATGCAGTAAAAACTACCGAGACCCTAAAGGGACATGCTGATGGGAGGAAAAATTATATTTTAATGCTTTTTAATTCTATCGATAAATTTCTGCAAATGTTTTGCAAGTGATCAAAGCTTTTTTTTGCCCAAGAATGCAAAGTTTCTCAGTGGAACACAATACTTTTGTGAGAGAACAAAAATGTTTAACGAGAGATTGCAAAGGTTTTGCAAGAAATCGCAATTGCTTTATGAGCGACTGCAAATATTTTATGAGATGTGCAAATGTTGTGCGAGAGATCGCAAATGTTCTATAAGATCGCAAGTGTTTAGGAGAGATCACAAATGGTTTACAAGATCGCAAATATTTTGCGAGAGATTGCACGATTTACAAGACACGGCAAATTTTTTGTGAGAAATCTCCATGTTTTTTGCAAGAAATCACTTTTTTTTTTTTTCCAAGAGAATCACAAATATTTTTCAAGAGATGGCAAATGTTTGCAAGAAATCGCAAATATTTTCAGAGAGATTGCGCGTTTTACGAGAGATGGCAAATATTGTGCAACATTGCAATTGTTTTATGAGAGATCACAATTGTTTTGTGAGAGATTTCACGTTTTATGAGGGACGGCAAATGTTGTGTGACCTCGCAAATGTTTTACGAGATTGAAGATTTTTTTGCAAGAAATCAAAAATTTTTTTTTTTTTTTTACAATAGATCGCAAATATTTTACAAATTTTCAAATATTTTGCGAGAGATGGCAAATATTGTGCAATATCGCAAATTATTTACAAGAATGCATATTTTTGCGAGAAACAATTGTTTTACGAGAGATCGCAAATATTTTGTGAGAGATTGCACATTTTACAAGAGACAGCAAATGTTGTGTGACCTTGCAAATGTTTAACGAGATTGCACATTTTTGTGAGAAATCGCCTTTTTTTTTTTACAAAAGCACAAATATTTTCCAAGAGATGCCAAATGTTATGCAAGAGATCGCAAATATTTTACAAGATCACAAATGTTTGCGAGAGATCGCAAATTTGTGAGAGACGGTTTCTTGGTGGAATGCAATACTATAATATAAATTTAAAACACAATTTTTACACAATTTTATATTACTAAATATAATTTTTCCTCCCGTCTCATATTTTCTTCCATTCCCATGTCTCCTGGGGCTCTGTAAAAACAAAAATAATAATGAAATATTTTTACAATCTAAAATAAGTGTTTTCTATTGAAATATATTTGAAAATGTAATTTATTCCTGTATTGTCAATAAGATAAGATCAGGAACACGTGTTTAGAAAGTAAACAGGATGAATCTTGATTTCATGTTGACTTTAACATTCTATAATGAGGTTCCACTTTTACTATTAAATTTTCAGTTACTAAATATTTGCATTTGTACTGGACGTACATCTTAAATAAAACAAAATGAAGGGTCTTTGTGTACAGTAAGTGTACAGTAAAATATAGACATTTCAATTTGGGAAGGCAGCAAAACTAATGTTCATTGCTTGAAGTTTAGATGTTCTACCCGTTTGCAAAAGGTTATAGTGGTATAGGGCTGAATTTTGGTCACAATCCAGACATGAGTTTCTCGATGAGATAAAAGCTAAAGCTGAGTTACTGGTGTTGGCAAAAACCCGTTGTTTGAAATCGGTCAGTCGGTGCATCAAGACTCTACATTCGGTTCAAGACACGCCCTGTTTTGATTTGGTTAAACTATGAGGTGAGCATGACGTCCAGAAAGTAGAAGATTCCAGACACATTTTGGCATAAAGAAAAATCCACTGGGTTCATGCTTGATTATCATGAGGTAATCTGGCTTTGGTGACTTACACCACATGGCAAATGATTTGGTTACAAACACCGAACTGCGTCACGATACTAATACCACCATTGTAAAGCTGAACAATTTTTTTCTTCTTTTTTTGGCATGAAAATAAAGGAGCTGTAAGGCTATTGCAAGTCTAACTAATAAGCTGAGTTGAGGTCCACATGTAGAGGAGCACAGCACAAGCACAGAGATGATGAGCGTTTTGTTTTGACGGTTTGTCCTGTTATCTGTCTGGTTCAGTTTGTCTCTCAGAGGCAGGTTTGCATCTACATCAGCTGGTCCTATCCAACGCTTCCTGAAGTGACCAGCGCCAATATAGCGATTTGCTCGGAGGCATTTAGTGCTACCAAACCCGTGGATCTCAAGATATTCAGAGTTTATGCAAAAAACTTGATTGGAGGTCGAAAAGTCTCTTCCTCACTTGTGTCGTCTTGGACAGTGTTGTGTGTATGTGTGACACCAGAGTGTAATAGAGCACAACCGTATAGCTCCAAAAGTAAAAATACCATTCATTTTCTCCACAGAGATTCGAGTCAATCTCACGACCCAATATTTGAACAAATATTTTGCAATAAACTTATTGTATAGTATACAAACTCATTTAAATTCAAAATGCTTTGTAATGTTCATCTTGTAGCTCAGAACTCTCATGGAGTGAATGAATGGAAAAATACTTCTGGAACCAAGGCCACTGCAAAAGCGGGAGTTATTCTTATCTTTTGTTTTATGTTCATTGTTCAGACACTGACCCATAAATTCAATTCTTGCAAGCACAGATTTTAAGCTTTTTCTACGAGTATTGCAAAACTATTAGACTCTAAAATTCTTAGTATAACTGCATGATGTGCAAAGCTAGAAAGGCATATGAACAATAAATCTATTTCCCTGAACTTAATCTGCAATCAACCCTGTGTAAACTTGCATTCATTAGTAGACCTATAGCGCTAAGGTATATACATCTAATTTGAACGGACGAGTCTCACAAATCCCATCAAGAACATGTCATGGTCATATTGCACCATAAAAACAAGAGAATGAAATAGAAAATTATATTCTGTATAAAGAAAACGCAAACAAAAAAAAGTATTTTTTTTTACTGAATTATTTTCATGATAATCAATCATATTTCCCCCAATTCTCATTGAAATAATATTTAAAAAATGATCATGATATAATATATCTAACATTATTATTCTTTTATTCTTTATTATTCATTATTATTCTTATATAAATATATATATATATATATATATATATATATATATATAATATAATTGTTCTTTTAAATATTTAATGAGAATACAACCTGACTTTTCAAAAAATACTACAAATATTAATTATTATATTTGTATAACTGTAATTGTAATTATATTTGTTGGACCTCCCTTAATTCATGCTGAATTTAATAAAACAATCATTGTTTTAAATCAAAAATATACAGTAATCTGTATATCACCATTGCAAACAAACAACCTCAAAACATCTGGAAACATTTCAGTTATTTTGGCAGGAATGATTCAGAATTTGGCAGGAAAATGTGCTTAATTAATTAAAAAATAATGTCATAATTAGGGCTGCAAAGGGGCAGAAAATGTCTGGTAAATTTCCAGAAACTTTCTAGAATTTTTTGGAAGTTCCCAGAAATTTTCCGCCCCTTTGCAGCCCTAGTCATAATGCAAAAAAAAATAAAAATTCCTAAAAATAGTCTTCATTGTCTTTAAGCAAATATAATTTTTTTATATTAGAGCGAAATATGACCTAGACATGTTTTTGTGAGATTAACCCGAAAAGAAATGCAACATTTCACTATAGAACAAGAAAATGCACTGAAATATCTTTCCAAAACATGAATTTTAGAATAGTGAATTTCTGTGGTGTTTTCATTGGTATTCTAATAACTGATAAAAGTGCGAAGCACACTGTAGCAGGTAATGCTCTTCGCACGTTTACTGTAGTGCGTCCAGTATCTGTGTGGTGGTGAGTGTTTGCTGTGTATTGTTCGCTCTCAGTTAGCCGGTCCAGGGTCTGCCAGTGGCATAGTGTGCAGCACCTCGTCTAGCAGCTGCAGCGCCCGGTGCAAATGCACCTCCACCCAGCAGGGGGTGTGCTTGATGCTCTGCCGCGGATAGTCAGGACCCCAGCCCTTCACGAAGCTCAGGCGCAGGATGCACAGCCTCCGGAGATCATCCACACCAATCCCTGCTGCTGCCGAGAGGCCTGGAAACAAACATTCCCAAAGTCAGGCTACAGAAATGACAAAAACATCCATTACGTTTATATGATAAAACTTGACCAAAACAGATTTCTATCCAGTGTTGACTTATTTTCTGTTGTAAAGTTTCAGATATAATTGTCAGTTAACTGGTGCTATTTTTATTGCCTTTTTTCCCTATCACGTATGTGACCCTGGACCACAAAACCAGTCTTAAGTCACTGGGGTATATCTGTAGCAATAGCCAACAATACATTGTATGGGTCAAAATTATAGATTTTTCTTTTATGCCAAAAATCATTAGGATATTAAGTAAAGATCATGTTCCATGAAGATATTTTGTAAATTTCCTACCGTAAATATATCAAAACTTCATTTTTGATTAGTAATATTCATCGCTGAGGACTTCATTTGAACAACTTTAAAGGCGATTTTCTCAATGTTTGGATTTTTTTGCACCCTCAGATTCAAGATTTTCAAATAGTTGTATCTCTGCCAAATATGGTCCAATCCTAACAAAATTCATCCTTTGAAAACTGTTTTGCATTACCATGGAAATGGTTCTTTAAATCCTTTTAGTATGCTCCTCCCTCTAGTGGGCTGTGTCAAGTGTCATTTTACAAAAAAGTTTTAATCAAGATTTTGTTCTAATCTTGACAAAACACATTGTTGGAAAAGGTCTGAGTCTCAAGTTTCAATATTTTGAGGTTGTTTTGTGACCGGCATAATAATGTGAGAAACTTACTAATTTGTGACAGGAAAATACTTTTTAAAAATTCAATGGAGTTTGGGTGTCACCTGGTGGATATTTTTGGTATAGCGCCTAAACAAAATCTCAGGAACCTCCATTTTTGTAATATCAACTTCAAATTTGAAACATAATTTATTTGGACATATGGCTTTGATTTTATAGCAATTTAGGATTCCAAAATATTTAGTAAAATATTTATTTTATATATAAAATAATTGTACAGCATATTTTCTCTACAATAAACTTACGTAATGTTTTTTTACACTTTCATTTTTTAAATTAAAATTTTAACTAAAGTAATATTGCAGCAACCAATGACTTGTTATGAACGTGATTTTGACTAAACCACTGTCAGCAGAGCCATTGTGTTTTGTTTATGTTTGAAAAGCTGCTTCCACAGAGCACGATCTTGAAGGGTTGCCATGTCCAGTTATTATAAGCGATGCTTTTTAAGCATCTTTGGGATTGTTGTTTGGGCTCAGCTTATAAAGTGATCCAGTTTATGGAGTTAATAAAGTAGGCAGGTGCAGGTTGTTATATTTTGGCATGTGGTGTAGGCTTGCCGCAATAGATGGTGCTGACGGTGACACCGTTATTAAGCCGCAACACCGGTTACGTCACTTGCCCACCGTGGCACCGACCCCCACCGTCGTTTTGATTTTTTTATAGTAATAAAAATCATTTAGTTCAGTAAAAGAACAGACACTACAATTAAAAACTGAACGTGTTTTATATATACGCTAATGTGAGTTTGACGTTGTATTTTGTTGTTGCATTCAAGCAATTGACGCCGAATTGACGCTAATTCAAAAGTGAAAATAAAACGCACACGGTGCTTTTAAGCTATTTAAAAGCGAAGAAAAGCGAGGAAAAGAGGGAAAATTCAAACGAACTAAAAATGAACAATTGCTTTACGCCGAATTGCCGCTATTTGAAAGTGAAAGTAAAATGCGCACGTTGCTTTTACAAGCTATTTAAAAGCGAAGGAAAGCGAGGAAAAGAGGGAACGCCCCGCCCCCGCGGTGATACCAGTATTATCGGTGCTGTCACACGTCGATTAACCGGTGGGAAAATTTCCTCACCGTCACAACCCTAATGTGGTGTATTTCCAAGATAATGCGTTTGGATTCATCATGAGTTCATCATGAGTTTGTTCTATTTGCTCTTTTTGAGGCACGTTTTATTATGGAGGATTGCACTTTATTGGACTTGTTTTGGACTGTTGAAAAGAAACACCCACCCATTGCCATTATAAAGCTTGGAAGTGCCAGGATAATTTTTAATTTAACTCAGATTGCATTCGCCTGAAAGAAGGAAGTCATATACACCTAGGATGCCTTGAGAGTAAATCATGTGGTAATTTTCATTTTTGGGTGAACTAGCCCTTTAAAGTCCAAAAACCCTTATTTTGAGTTCACGGTGAATGAGGCAGACACTCACTGACTGCAGGAGCGATTCCACCGACGCTTCCTGGTCCTGGAATATTCCCTGCCACCGCCGCGGCCTGTGCTGCCGCCGCCGCCTGCGCCGTGGCCGCCTGCTGCTGCATCTGCCTGTGGCACTGCCTGAGGTCAAAGACCTGCAGAAACCACACAACACACCCACACTTCTGCTATCAGCACAGCAATTACATACAGAGACCTCGCTGCTGTGTCCTGAAACAATGGGCTGACGAGAAGTCATTTGGACAGGCTTAAAAAAAATCAAGCTCTGGATCAAGCAAATCTAATGTGACAGGAAGCAAAAATACATACAGAGCTCTCAAGTGCACAAAGGTATTCACTGGCCATCGAGGCTGGAATTACAGGGGTCATATTAGGAGAAGTTTTCCTTTATTTTTAAGATGTAATAATAATAACAGCATGATTGCACTACCATGTACTATGAAAACACATCCAAAAATAATTTTTCAAAAATTAAATAAGGAACTTGTCTAAATTTATCTGATATTTATTTACATTTTTTAATATTTTATTTTGTTTGCATTTAAAATATATGTTTACTTTATTGTTACATGTAACTACATTTTACATTTTTACTCCACAAAAACAATAATTCAAAAATGTAAATAACTTTTCAAATGGACAAATAGACATTGACAAGTTGCTTATTTACATTTTTTAAATACTGGTTTTTGTACATAAAAGGTAAAATGTGCTTTTATGCTTAAAAATAAAATAAACTTTTCTAATTGACAAATAAATGGATTTAAATGCTTGTAGATGCTTTAGTTGCTTTATTTTCTTACATGAACAATGTTTTTAACCACAAAAACATTAATTTTATTAAATAAATTACATAAGCAGCTGGTCTAAATTCATCCATTAATTTATGTAATTTATATAAACATTTCCATCCATTTATTTATATATTCATATAAAAATTCATCATCATTTAAATCATGAAAACGGATTTATTTACATTTTGAATTTTGAAGTGTTGCATTTTAACTACAAAAAAGCAATATTTCAAAGACTAAATACAAATTAGACAATAAATTACTATAAACTATAAATTAAATATATCTTATATTTATTAATTTGAAAAGTAATTTATATTTTAATCGTTGTATTTTGTAATTTGTTTAATCTATGTAGTCTTTTTTGTGATTTATTTATTTATTTTGTAGTTAACAAGTAAAATGTAGATAAAATACAATTAAATATACAATAAAAAAAATTCAAAGCTAAAAACTTCAACCACAATCTAGTTTTCTACAAAAGTCAATGCTATTTGACTGGCACTATTAACATTGCACTATTTCGTCCTATAAATCATTTTTAAAATACACTTAAAGGGTTAGTTCACCCAAAAATGAAAATTAACCCATAAATTACTCACCCTCAAGGCATCAAGGTGTATATGACTTTCTTCTTTCAGAAGAATCCAGTCGGAGTTATATAAAAAATTGTCTTTGATCTTTCAAAATCAATTTAATCTAGCTTGTGCTCACTGTTGTACACGGAAGCAGTTCCGGGAGGATGATGTATGAGGTTGGCGTTGCGCTCAGAAGTGACAAACGGGGAAGCGCAGGGGAGAGATCAAAACATCTTACGTCATCCGCCCGGAGCTGCTTCTGTGTACAACTGTTGGCGCAGGCTGGATTAAAGTGATTATTACGTTTTGAATATGGATATTTTTCTTACAAATACGCATCGATTCGCTACAGGAGGCCTTTGTTCACCCCCCGGATCCGTGTGAGACACTTTTTATTATGAATGGATGTGCTTTATTTAACTTCTTTTGGACTGATGCATGCAACACCCGCTGACTGCCATTAAACAGCTTGAAAGATCAAAGACAATTTTTAATATAACTCCGACTGGATTCATCTGAAAGAAGAAAGTCATATACACCTAGGATGCCTTGAGGGTGAGTAAATAATGGGCTAATTTTCATTTTTGGGTGAACTATCCTTTTAAGTGTTTCATCTTTGACATCCACAGTTTTCATGGGTTCATCTTTTACCTTTATGTAGGCCCCTGGGTAGATCTTGTGCACTGCATCTCCTGGCGCTCGACCCGCTTCTCTGTCCAGGTAGTAACTCTGCACAAAGACAGCATGATCGCTCATGCAGCGCATCCATACGTCGCCCTCGCCGCGGCACTCCAGCTGCACTCCTTTACCTATGTGCAACCTGCAGACAGAGAGACAAGACACTGAAACAGAACTGCCTTTACAACATTTCTGCTTCCATCAGATAGTTACGTAACATAAATAAACACGTCACCGTGTGTCATAACCAAAACCAGATGTGCCTCTGATACGCTTACATTTCATTTCATCAGTTTGTTAAAGCCAGTTATTTCCCGGCTGTTATCTCGCATAATCGGTTTGTTTATTATTGTTCATCACAGTGTCAATCTGGCACAGTAAGGCGTTTTTGAGACGTGTGTTAAGGCAAACATGAAACCTGTGAAATTCATCTATACACAAATAAACACGTCACACACATACAGCCATTTTGTCTGGACAATATAGCTTGATATTTTTCAGCCTTTTGATGATTTTCATCATCGCAGATAGATAGATAGATAGATAGATAGATAGATAGATAGATAGATAGAACGGCATAAGGATAGATAGATAGATAGATAGATAGATAGATAGATAGATATGTGTGTGTACACACACACACACACACGCATACAAACACTTTATATCTTTTTAATCTTAAAAGAGTAATCAGTATTATTTTAGCATGATTCACATATTGTGCTTTAGTATTTATTAATATTTTGAATTAGCTTTTATTTTAGTGTTTTTAATGTCATTTTTAATTTTAGTTTAAGTTTTAATTTTGTGATGTGCTTTGGTCCTTTTAGCTGTATTTCAGTTAAAGAAATGTATTTTTAATAGTTTTTATTTATTTTATTTTTTTTATAATTTAACACCTGTATTCTAATTCGTGCAGTGTTGTTATTGTTAGGTTAAACTAAAACTATTTATTTCATTAAATGAAATAAAGCTGAAATAAAATCTAAATATTGAATGAAAAAATAAATAGAAATAATTAAAATTACAAAAACTAATAAAAATGACAAGCACATAAAATTATTAAAACGTAAATTAAAATAATATTAAAATAGTTAATTATTTTATTTTTAATTATTTTAATTAATATAATTTTTAAAGTCATTATATATATATATTTAAATATTATTAAATTAATAAATACTATTATTGTATATAAGCAATATTAAAATAACACTGAATTCACATCTTTAACATTAACACCACTGTGCAGTGAACTGTAGCCAAAAAGTCATGAATTGCAGAAAAAATACAGTCAGTGCCCTTTTTTTAATGCTAAAATATTTTGTTGATTCTCCTCCTTGCTCCAAAATTGTCTTTCATCAATAGCTTGAAACTGTCTGCATCTCTACCTTTCTTTCTTTCTTTCTTTCTTTGATGCTATTAAAAATTTAATTCCATTCAAGTTGTGATAAAAGAATAAATATGGAACAAGTCTACTGGCATTGGTCTTTAAAGCTTAATAGCTAAATAAAAAGGACATTGTCATATTCACAATGTTGGTTTTACATCTGCAACAAGACAATACGGATTAAATCATAAATATTCAGTATATGACTCGGAGGTATTTACTGGCTGGATCAGTTGCACATACCTGGCGCGCTCACTGGCGTCTGTGCGGTGCACATTACTGAGCTGACCCAGGCAGAAGCGGTCTCCTCCTGAGGGGTCCACATACCCGTCAATCGTCACCACCGGACAGCTGGACAGCACTTTAAACATCTCCCCCACCTGCACATCCATCTCGAAGTATGAGATGGAGCACCAGAACTCAGGACCTGTGGATGCACTCTTGATCAATTTAATGTGTCCTTGCTGAAAATTATTTTCTTTTCTTTCTTTTTTTTTAAATCTCAGACCATTTGAACGTTTTGTATTGTGTGTTTTAGTGGAGATTATATAAAGTATTAACCTGGATGGTTGGAGACTGGAGGGGGGAAAGACGCTGAACTGTGATGCTGAGACCCTGATAGAGAAAGAAATAATAATGGATTGATTCAGTTCTTTTCAAAATAATGGTATATTTGCAAACATGTTTGTAGCAGTGTTTAAGGCAAGCGTACAGAAGTGTGGGTGGTGGAGAGGAGGCTGGTGGCCGCGACCGTTTTGCTGGGGTCCTAAAGGAGTGTAGGAGGCTGTGCTGCTGCCTGTCCAGGTTGCTGCAGCAATTTAGAGATTAGAAAGGTTTTGTATATGAAGCAGTGAAAAGCTCATAACACCTAAACGGGCATGACATGACAAGTTTCCAGCGACAAGTATTTTATCTGTCTACACTGAAAGAGAAAGTACATGCCAAAGCCACGGCCAATATATGTAATGTTTGATATACAGCTTTGAGGAGTGCAGTTTGGATCAGTGAGATTTCACTACAGAAACAGAAACCAAGAAGTTATTATTAACTAATACTAAAATTATTAAAAAGGTTTCATTAATTGAAATAAAGCTGAAATTAATTCATAAATGTTAGATGAAAAACACAAATTACTAACACTACAACTAAAATTAAAAAAAAAAAATGTAAAGCTAAAGAAAAATATATAAAAAGTAATAATAATAAAAAAGTAAAAAACACATAAGAAAATTACTCAAATGTAAACAAAATTTTAAATAAAACTGAAAATGTAAAAATAAAGGTTATAAAGAATATAAATAACTTTAATAATACATTAAAAATACTAAAATAATAATAATAATAATAATAATATTAATTGACAGAAACAGGTTTTATTTATTGAATAATATAATAGTATAAAAATAATACTTAACTTATTACTACAGGGTATCTGCAGGATTTTTAAAATAAAATTTCAGATTTTTTAAAACCTTTTTAAGGCCTGCACAAATAAAATTAATACCATATGAGCACTTTAGGGCAATGTCTATGGTAACACATTAAACTGTAAATATGAGCTTTATTTACAGTTTAGATACAGGTTTTCACAAAAACAAAATGTTTTGTAAAATGATAAACTTCACATTTCAGCCTTTAAACAATTTTGGTTTTAAAGAGATTGTTTAAAGAGAGACTGTTTAATTTAAACAATTATTATTAATCAATTATTATATTAAATAACATATAAATATATCTTAATTATTTAGATTTTTATAATGCTTTAGCATTAGCTTCTTGTCGATCCTCTGGTTCACATTTATAACTGTGCGTTTGCTGCAGTGCATATGGGTCGATGTTCACACTGGTCTGAACAAAAACAGCAGACGGGCTTACTGAAAATGCAAATTCAGGTTACACTTTATTTTAAGGTGTCCTTGTTACAGTGTAATTATATATTTAAGTACTGAGTAATATTAATTAACTTGCTACATGTATTTACTATATGGTTAGGATTAGGGTTTGTCTTAGGGTTACTTGCATGCAATTATGCATAATTGATTGTTGTTATTATAATAGGAAGTACATGTAACAAGGGCACCTTAAAATAAAGTGTTACCAAAAGATTTTCAAAAAGCCTTTTAAAACTGTGTAATTCGCATACTGTTTGAATGTAAGTAGACTAAATTTGTTAATGTTATTAATGAAAGTTACTCAAAAATGTACCAGAAACAAAATAATAGACTTCACAACGTTGGTAACTGAAAAACTGTAATGAACATTAAAATGCACATCAATATACAAACAATGCAACAAAGCTGGCTGGCTGGAAAATGCAAAATGCCTCTTTTCTTTGTAGCTGCTGGGTGATTATGACAAAGTGAAAGCGCTTTCGGAAGGCTCTGACTGTGGCTGTAAATGTGTTGTCAGACCTCTGAGCGCGAGCGCGTGCCAGCGGATTCGGGATGGTCACGCGACGCCTCAGGATTTCTACACGGTGGAGACCATCACATCAGGACCCCACTGCAAATGTGCATGCGTTGCACCTCCGTCGGCTTATTAACTACATGTACTTACTATATGGTTATAGTTAGGATTAGGGTTTGGCTTAGGGTTACTTGCTTGTACATTTATATTTATTCATTTAGCAGACGCTTTTATCCAAAGCGACTTACAATTGGGGAATACATCAAGCGATTCATCTTAAAGAGGCAAATAGACACAGGAAGTGCTCGTCATACCAAGTTTCAAGCAAGCATTATTCAAATAAGTACAAGCTAGACAGGGAAAGATTAAAGAAAAGAGAAAAAAAAATGTTTTTTGTATCAAAGATGAAGTCAAATAGTGTAATTATGCATAATTTATTGTTATTATAACCTTAATCAGAAAATGATGTACATGTAAACATGGTATTTGTAACACTGGTCAAAAACTCAAATTAACACAAACGTATTGTAATCACTAAATAAATGCATCACTAGTCGCGTTGTGATTGGTTAGGACGTGGTGTGATACTCACTGTGAAAGGAGCCTTGCGTCTGGGAGTGTTTGGAGCTGTTGTAGCCGTTCTGGTTGGGTGGAGGCTGCGGTGGGACGGGGGTCTGTGGGGGTCCATGTGTGGGGGTGGAGGGGGGAGGGGTAGGGGTCTGGGAGTGTTTGGAGCTGTTGTAGCCGTTCTGGTTGGGTGGAGGCTGGGGTGGGACAGGGGTCTGTGGGGGTCCATGTGTGGGGGTGGAGGGGGGAGGTGTAGGGGTCATGACTTGACCCTGAGGAGACGCAATCTGAAGTAAGCCTTCACCGTGACCTCCCTGCATCGGCATCATAGAGCCTGAAGCTGAAAGACATGAGAGTTTGGAAGATGACACTGTTATTACAACAGCTGAGAGTCCTGTGTGGCCAGCGGTCAGCTCTTACCGGTGGGGGAGAGGGGCATGTTGGAGTAAAGGGTGACCGGTGGGGGGGCGCGGCTGGGTTCTGAAGGCAGCTGTAGAGGAGGCAGTGGCTGGCCGTAGTGGTCCGGAGGAGGGAGTTTCATCGCCCCCTGGTGGTCCTGCTGAGGAGGCAGGCCAGGGGGAACGTCCATCTGAATGCAGTCGTGGCTGTACTCTTCCTTTATTAGTCTGCCAGTGGGACCTACATACCAGCCAGAGGACAAATCGAGTCAGTTCATTAAAAAAATTAAAAAAATTCACAGATTCCTTTGGGCCTTAATCGAATCAGTGAATCTGTTTTGAACCTGTGTGGAATGGCAAGTCATTTTTTTGTAGAAAAACTTAAAATAACACTGTTTATCATCATGTTCAATATTTCATAATTTCGCAACTTTATCTGTTCATTAATAAATATTTCAATAAATAAATTCATATTTTTTAAAAATATATATTTTAGAAATTGTATAATTTATCATTTGATTTAATGTAATAAAAATGTTTTAAAAAAAGTTAAAAGTCTGATGTAATTAAATTTTTAATCATGTTTCTTGAACAGCAAGTCAGCATATTAGAATGATTTCTGAAGGATTTTATTAACTTTGCATCACAGAAATAAATTACATTTTAAAATATTCAAATAGAAAAACGGTCATTTGAAATTGTAATAATATTCTACAATATTACTGTTATTACTGTTTCTGATCAAATAAATGCAGCCTTGGTGAACATAAGAGACTTCTTAATTCTTAATTATTTATAATTAAAAATCTTCATTATTCTAAACATTTGAACCATAGTGTGTGTGTTGCATAGCTATAACAGAAAACACTGGCATCTAACAATGCCCTGGGGGAAAAAAACAGTTAATTTTAGTGTCCTAAACTCCTGAAACATTGGTGTCTCATATTTTAGAGCAGTCAGTGCATTTTGGGAAAGAAATCCATTAAATCTGTATGTGTGAGTAAAAATTCAGATGTAACCCCCTTTGTGACCGTTAACATTTTCAGAAGTTACTGTAATTTAATTACACTTTTTTCTCAGTAACTGTAACTGATTAGTATTACATTTATTTTGTAATTAAATTACGAAATTCTTTACATGTAACTAGTTACTCCCCAACACTGATTATTGCATAACTTACCCGTGTTTTGAAGACTGAGACCAACTTGAGATGAGAGAAAGAAAAAAAAGATAAAAACTTATTACAATATGTTTTCCTGTCCTGACAGAAAAGCATGAGACTGTATTTTTGCAGACTCAGGAAATGCTGCACACAGCTCAGTAATGTCTTGGTTCATGGTGATGAATGAAAGGACAGCAGACTCACCGATGCCTGGTGACACCACTCTCTCATAATGGTAAGGGTTGACACAGACATTATCGTATTTGAGGTCAAATGCATACTGACAGAATTTCACATGCTTCAGCTCGTTCTTGTGAAGGTCAGGCCAGCGCCACAACCGCGCGTAGATTACATGAGGAAAACCTTTACGCCCGGCAACCTACAGAAAGAAAACATGAGGAATGAGGATTACAACATAGTACAATAATACTGAAGAAGGAAAAATAATCTGTTAAGTACTGCACAATAATAATGTAGATATTAACCAGTCGTGGGAAATTTTTCAAACCAATTAAAACTTTGAATGTTCCAAGCGTTAATATAAAACCTGTATTAGTGGTTTAAATATTTCACACAATTCAATTCAGATCATTTTCTAAATTATTGTCGAAATGATGCAGCCATACACCATGATACCTGAAACATGATTTCAGGTCATGATTTGGTTTAATTTGATTGTTTTCATAATCATTAAAGCATGCCTTATCAAATACAAGCAATTTTAATCTATTACTAAATTATATGATCACTTTAATATTATTTACTAACTAATTACAGTTTAGTCAATTATAATAAACTACAATAAATTATAGCATTTATATTTATATTTTCAGTTTTCATTTTAAATTTGGCTTAAGTTTTAGTAATTTTATGTGCTTTTTATGTGTTTTTTAACAATAACTCTACCTAGCATATTTAATGTATTATTATTCAGTTTTTTTAATGTATTATACATTATATTAATAAATGTATATATTAATATTAATGAATTTCAGTTTTTTACTTTTCCATCTAGTATTTATATTTTATTTTATTTCAGGCTTATTTCAATAACTTTCAAAGCTACATTTCAAAGTTAGTTTTAGCTTTAGTTAATAATAATAATAATATTGCATTTAATGTATTATAATGATGTATTTAAATTTTTTTATTAGTGCTGTCTATCGATTAATCGCGATTAATCGCATCCAAAATAAAATTTTTTGTTTACAAAATATATGTGTGTGTACTGTATATTTATTATGTATATATAAAGACACACACATGCATGTATATATTTCGAAAACATTTACATGTATATATTTATATTCATATCATTTATATTACATATAAATATATTTAGCATATTTCAACTGTGTGAAATACATGTGATTTTAAAATCACAATTTTTAAAACCTAAATTTTTAAGTTTTATATAATGTAATTCATTATAGTTGACTATCGATTCCTCACACTCTTCAGCAAAGGCATTGTTTTAAATTTTACTTTTGGCCTGCATGTCTATTATTGAAAGATGGGAACCGAGATCAGGAACTGAACAAACTCATGTTTCCCATACGAGTGAAGCGGCTCAGTGCATTGGATCACATGACCAAACGCAACGCCACTCTAACAAGCACAAGTCAAACTTCTGCTAAAGACACACCAAAATGTTTTAAAGGGGTCATATGATGCGATTTCAAGTTTTACTTTCTCTTTTGGAGTGTTACAAGCTGTTTGTGAATAGATAAGATCCCTAAAGTTGCAAAGACTAAAGTCTCAAATCCAAAGAGATATTCTTTATAAAAGTTAAGAGTCAGTCACGCCTACCTAAAACAGCTCGTTCTAACACGCCCCCACATGTCTACGTCACTGTGTG